TTTCTACGGGCATCAACGTCACAGTCACTACGAGTTCCACCACCAACTCTAACACAAAAGTCTCTGCGGCTAACGGGTCTGGTGGGCGTACGCCTTCACGAGGCAAAGGACGCGATTCTATGGACTCCGATATCGTCAGTGACAGCAATAAGCGGCTGACGGGAAGGCGCTTGAATAGAAGATTGTGTGCAAGCATGAGATGTAGGGACATTCGGATCTTCGGTGTTTCGAACAGTAACAATGGGCATGATGCTACTGTGAGCGAGGTTAGCTCATGATTTCGGCTCCTCTCCCTCTCTTCTCCCCCTCTATATTCCTCCCCATCTTGGTTATTCAGGATTAATGTTACTCGATTGTTTAATTTTTTTTAATGTGTATTCAATGGACTTATGAAAGTCGTTGTGATTCTGCGTATTATCATCGGCTTTGACGACAGTTTGGTTTAGTAGTGGCTATTGGACTGACCATAGTGATTGTCTTAATTACTATCCAGTCGTTATCATCTACCATTATCGGGATTTGCCTAAATGATTCCTGGTGGAAATAGTTAGAGAGGGACATGAATACTCAATTAGATAGTGTTTCTATTATCTAGCCTGAGTTCACTTCAGATGTGTGGTGATGCTGATTTTACGAATTAACAATTTGATATTGAGATTACACCATTTTGGCGCGCTGGGGATAATAATAAAGCTGGGGAAACATATTTGCTTAAATCCTAGTTGATATACGCTCACGCACTGCAAGCGGTTATCCTTGCTTCCGACAACTGCCTGTGCCCATTCTTACGGGTTTTTCCAATGCTTCATTTACCTAGGCGCATATTATAGCTTTGTCGGATTCTAGTTAATGTGGGAAATATTTAATCCATTCTACACTTATCTACAGCGTGAATTGGCGTCAGTTTGGTGAGGAAACGACACTTTCAGCGTTAGTAGTTGGTCGGCTATCCGAAGAAGCATTGCAGCGTTCCACGTCAATCAATGAAAACAGACGAAAAATCGTTGCAAATTGTAGGAGATTTCGATCGCAATTTCTTTGGTGCATGCTCCCTGGGTTGAAACAATTTGTATTTTGGCGGGGTATGATATTTGTGAAATTGGTGAAGTAGGTATAACTAGTTTATTGCCAGACTATCCACCTCGATTGCTATGGTAATCTCCTGCCCTACCAATAGAGGTATTTCGCTGATCGTCGCTGTTTTATTTGGAAGCCTCTATTGAAGATTATTGCTCATCCGTGTAACAAATTTGCTTCATCTGCCTTATCCCTCTCCACTCCTAGTCCAATAAGGAAAAAGAAGTTAGCACTATAGTCCTTCCTATGGCCACCACTCCGGACACGCCTAGATCCATCCAATCACCCATCTTATGCACCGTCCATTCGTCTCCCATCGAGGCGGCGCGTAGCGGTGACCTTACCGCGGGTATCTCTCCCCTTACCGTTGTCAACACCGCTGCTTCCGTCTCCGCCTCCTTAACCAATCTCCTCCCTGTCACCACGTTCGAGCAACTGAGCCTGCATGCTTCCCCTGTGGATGCCAATACCACTGCTTCTGATATCTTTTGTGTACGTGGGTGCGCTACTACGAGAATTCTGCTTCCTTTAGTCCTCTTTTGCCGTTTATGCCACTCTTCTGTCTACTATCCTTTGTAGCGCCGAAGCTCTTCCTGAAAACCTTCCAAGATTTACGGCTCCGGATAGGGCTTTATAAGTGTACTGAAGGGCTGATGTTCTGTTAACTGAAATACCGCACAGACAGGCCGCCGCGCTGCCAGGATGGCGATTCAGACATGCGGAGACTGAAGGGAGCTCGCGTAGTTAAATGCAGATCAATTAAAACAAATGTTCTACTGCAGTCTCATATGCTTTGTTTATGCTATACGTTTGTTCGTCAGATATTAGCTACTTTTTGGCGGACGAATTTGTCCAGCTTAAAAGACTGTATTGTCGGATGATGAATGCATAGATATCACATTGATGAAATCACATGCCATCACTACCAATGCTCTTTCTCAAATGCTCCTTTAATGTGCTCTAAAAAGATCACTTAGCCTAATTCCAGTTTTTTTGCTCAAAGCAGCTCTTCAATTAATGACTCCATCTTTTGGTGATTATGTTGGTTCCACTGATTTTGGCCAATGCACTCAGATATCGTTTGCAGGCTTAGCACCGCGTTAGGACAGCTTCCGGTGGCTTTGAACTCTCAAGGACACCTGTTTTATGATAATTTTGAGAAGAAACAGGTAAGAAAGGCGCTATTGAAATTTAAGCGCATGACCGAGTTGATTTGTCTTCTAGCTTTTTGGGTGGGCACTGAATATTCTTGATTATAATTAATATTATCGGATTACCAAAAGGCTCTGTGTTGATGACTTGATGTGTGAACAATATCGTGGCGTACTCGCTGAGGGTCTTCGGTTCACTTAACTTATGGGAACACCAAGTACAAGGATCAAACATGCATCGACTCTTTTCTTTCTTTAGCCGCGCTCCTACTCCCTGCCACAAATGAAAATCCCGTCATCGTCTCCGCCCAGTCCACCTCTCTTAGATTCGGCTGGAGGAAATGTAAAAGCTGGTTTTCACTGTTGCCTTGGCGTCTCGAGAAGGCTGAACAGGAAGAGCATCTCCATGGAGCACCTTGAAATCTTCGGTCCATGTCCTAAGCTTAGTCTCCTCACCGATTCTCGTGGTATGAACAACCAGGGTGGCACTTTAGTTAGGATCTTCCCGTGTTTTTAACCCCGATGGTTTCGAAGCTTCATTATTGAATGAATTGCTTTACCACATTTGTGCTGTTACTCAAACCAGTTTTGCATTGTGCTGCACAGGCGAACAAAATTCTCTAAATGCCTAATATTACCTTTTGCTTTGTTTCCAGTCAAACTCTCCGTCAGCTTAGAGTCTTCTAGCACCATCCCAATGGTGGCTACCCCGTGCTCTCCTACCTCCAGCGTCGATACACTGGACAGCGAGCTGACGTTACCAATGCGACAAGAGACCTTCCATCGGCGGCTTCGTCTTCCCACTCACCTCCGCAATTGTTGCAAGGGTTGCTCACTGCTGACGAGGCACCTCAAGATGGCCATGACTGTTGATGGTTCCGCTTGGCTTGAGTGCGAGCCTCTGGGACAGCGAGCAGAGCGGGTAACCTACCACCATGTGGAAGCGAAACCCTTTGTGGGCGAGCCGCTTCACTGTTGTCGGGTGGACGAGTGTCAAGTCTACACAGCGACTCTAGTGCCACAAACTCCCTACTCAACCGACTCTCTCTCCTCCACCTCTCCACCATTTGTGTTTCACAACAGTACAAGCATCTCCCCAACGGTGGAGGTTCCCTCCGTTTCCACTTCCACCACTGTGACCATTCAGCAGAATCCACACCCTCCTTCTCCGGTGTTTCCTGCCCGACCTCTTTCTCCAATCCAACTCCCACCACCACCTCCTCCTCCTGATGGCGTCAATGCCAGCAGCAACAGTTCTACCCAATCTCCTTTTGTCTACCCCACCTACACACCTCCACAGCCATGTTGTCCCATGTATGTCTCAGGCGTTGCGTGGATGGCTACTCCGCATCACTTTTCATCTGCCTTTATACCTCCACCTGCTCCTGCTTTCTTTGATCCCGCCACCGGTGCCCCAATGTTTGCTTATTGTCTGCCAGCTCAACCAACACCACCACTACCACCGACGCCCTCGCCGATTCAGCAGGTGCCTTTGCAAACGTTCCTCCCGCAGCCTGATCAGGCTTTACTGTGTCCACCTCCACCACCATCCCCGGCACTGCTGTCACAGCAGCAGGTGTTTCCACCTCAAATGGGCTACGTGCCAACACAACCCATACCAATTCCGGAACATCAGAATCAGCATCAACAACAGCAGTTTCAGCAACTACAACCACAGTTCCCACTGATGATGGATGCGACGGATTGGGTACTTGGAGGGACACCTTCAGCATACCCCCTTCAGGGTTAATTGCAGATAATCCCTCTTTCCCTGTCCCACCTCTGTCCGTAT